CATTCAATTTCGATTTTTTCCAATTCATTTTTCACCGGTATGTTCACCCGCTCTTATCTATGGAATTTTAGGGTATATGAGATAGTGCGGCTGATTCCTGCAAGAACCCTCTCTTTCACCATTAAGCCTTGAACTCGTTGATGGCCCACTTTTTCATGGTATTAGAGTAGGCACGAACGGGCGTAGCGGCTCCGAACTGGTTGGGGATGGTCGTGCCCAGTAGCTCCGAACCGTCCAAGACTAAACTTGTCGATAGTGGACGCATGGACATCATCCAAAGATAGTTTAGCAAGTGAAGGTAATGAACAAACAGTCCAATCCTTGTTGTCGTTCGAACATAAGATCATCACCCCATACATAGTAGTTCCCTATCTCAATCTTTGCTTGTACCTTCGTGACTTGGCTTGCTATTACCATGTGCACTCTTCCAGTTCTGAATTGTTAGATTGAGACTTTCTCTCTTATTCATGACACGTTGCCGGCTGCTTAAGCACTCACAAGAGTGATATTGAGACCCCCNCCCCCCCCCCCACACGAATCATCTTAAGGTGACAGAAGTCATCCTACTGTGAATATAGCGTGCAAAAGCATGTTGAGCGCAAAAGCATGAGCATGCATATTGAGTGTTTTGTGTAGGGAACTTCATTCAGAGAATCGTTCGGCAAACTTCGGAGGCAAGTAAAAAATCAGCATCCGAAATTATGTCTAGCGGCATTGGTCTCATAAGCAAACTCCGCCCATTGTGAGAACTCGATGACCCGTCGTTTGATCTTTTCGCTTGCTAGTCCGAACAAAGTTATGATTTTTGTATCAGTCCCACCCAACTTACAAGGAAAGGATACCAGGTCGCAGTGACCATTCAAGATGAGAAGCAAACTGAGGTAAGGGCTCCAAAGCTGATCTCAAAACTGGGCTCCAAATCTGCAGAACGATTCTAGGACAAAGTTACGAGTGCATTTTCTCCAGCAGCCATGACAGCAGTCTGTAAGCGAACCGAGCACCTAGCCAAACGTGCAGCGATGGCGCAGCTGGAAGGGCGACGGACTGAAACTCGTGACACGAAGGTTCGGAACCTTGATGCATGCGCTCGTTTTGCTTTTTTTTATAAAAAGTGTCCTGTACGCTTGTGAGATCCTTTTACGTGTCTTATAGACTACTCACAGCCCTCCTTCATATGTAAGAAACACTGGGAATGCGTACACAGAAGAATTTTCCTTTGTCTCCGTAGACCAAATAGCACTGCGCATCCCTTCTACTCCGGGCACTCAAGATGTGGTTACGGAATTTGGCAGAGTCCATGCTCTTTCAACAGATGTGGGTCGAACTACTCATCTGGCTAGAGCGCTTTTTAGATGAGTAA